AGATAGATAGATAGATGACAGACAGACAGACAGATAGATAGATGACAGACAGACAGACAGATAGATAGATAGATAGATGACAGACAGACAGACAGACAGATAGATAGATAGATAGATGACAGACAGACATAGATAGATAGATAGATAGATTAATCAACAGATAGATAGATAGATAGATAGATGACAGACAGACATAGATAGACAGACAGACAGACAGACAGACAGATAGATAGATAGATAGATAGATGACAGACAGACAGACAGATAGACAGATAGATAGATAGATAGATTAATCAACAGATAGTTAGTTAGTTAGTTAGTTAGATAGACAGATAACCTCTCGTTCTCCTGACTCTGCACGGCTGCGATCACCATCAGTATCATGAGAGCGACGCGCTGCTGAGATCTCTGCGTCTTCAACATCATCCGAACACTGAAACACCTCGAGCTGAAGAGCAGAAACACGAACCTTCATCAGAACAAAACTTCACACACAAATCCGTCAGTTCATGAATCGACTAACTTCCTCCAGCAGTACTCACTGAGTGTCGTCTCTCTCTCGTCTGCTCTCCTGCAGAAGATTGACCGACAGACAGCCAGGTCTCAGGGTTTATATAGACCCCTGGCGTCCCCAACACAGGAAGTGACCTCACAACTTCCCCTCCTCCTCCTCGAGTCCCAATTATCATGCAGATATGCCTTAGTTGCTTCCACAAAATCATTTATAATGGATGCGTCAAACTACTGATCAATGGTTGTTTTGGGTTTCGTTCCATTTCTCGTTCACAGGTTTGCCGTTGTCACTGAGCTCACAGCCTGGGATTAAGATTTGAGGTCTTTTGGCTTTCAGTTTCTCCTCAGAAATGTGAATCTGCTGAGAAAGCCAGCGAGATGAGTGTTTTCTACTAGAAACAGGGGAAAAGATGAAGACGAGTCTCAGAATTGGAGAGGTTTGAGAGTTAAAAACTGTCAAAATGAAAAGTCCCAGTCGATAAAGCCGTTGGCGGTCATAACGAGCGTTCTAGTTAAAATGCCTTTTCGTTAGAACTTCGAAACTAAGCATTACCGCCGGCGTTTTTCCACTTCAGCAGCATCACTGAAGACTCTCACAGCCCTAGCAACACGTCTCGGATGTGGTTTCTAACGCTGAGAAATGCGAGCGCTTGATGGGAACCTCGATGATGATTCCTGCAAAGTAAAACATCTCTGATTAGCAACCGCCCAGTTGACAAAAAAACCCTCAAAACTACTTCACATGGATGGTTCACCCAAAAATGGTCATCATTTACACCATTTTCTTCCAAATCTCAATGACTTACGTTCTTCTGTAGAACAGAAGAGGAGATGTTTTGAAGAATGTTTGTCTACGGTAGCCATAGCATGTTGAGGTCTAATTAAAGCGCAGTTAAAGTAGACTTCATTAAAGTAATTAAATTAAAGTAGCACTATGTTCCAAGTCTTCTGAAGTCATATGATTGGTTTTTGTGAGGAACAACCCCAAATTTATGGTACAATGTTCCTTTTTAGTCCAAATTTAGCACCTCAAGATGCACTGCGTTGGCCCTTATGAAAATTAACCATGGTTTTGCTACAAATAAAGGCCATGGTAACCACAAATTAACCATGATTTTGCTACACTAACCATAGTTTAACCATGGTATTTGTAGTTAAACTGTAGCTATACAAATTGTAGTCAATACACCAAATAAAACCATGGTTCCTACACTTTTACTATAATTAAACCATGGTTAATTTTTGACATGAATAACAGCAAACCCTGTTGGTTTTTGTCGATCTCATAATCAATATCAGTGCTTTACACAAAACCAAAAAAAGAGAGTTGCTACAGCAATATATCTCCATTAAGGTGAGCTATTTCTTCAAGAATAGCTTTTTTTTTTGAGGAAGTTAGCCATTGACTGACTTATCACATCAGTCGTGTTTGATCAACATTCTATCAAAAACAGCAACGCTGCGGCTTTTTATATTTAAAATGTGTATATTCTGCTTAAAACACGTAGTTTAGTTTTGTTTAATCGCATTGCGTGATTAATAAACTCATTTAGGGCTTCTCAGGCGCGTAATCTGAAGCCCCGCCCTCGAGCGTGCGTCGAGACGTTCATTACGTGAGTGCGTCCGCATTTCCGCGCTGCGCCATTTCGGAGCGGATCTGATCCAGGAGTCCGACACATACGGTCAGAAACACGCGAAACACACGGTAAATCTGCGTTTATTCGCTTTTATTATTTTCCAGTGCGCATGATTGTTTTTTTGTGATGTTTAATTGCGAACGCTCGGAGACGGAATTGCGTTTTAAAGCTTAATTTGCGTTTTTGTGCAGGCGCCATTTTACTGTTGACCCGGATTAGCGATTAGCCGCTTACTGCGAGTCTTTAATTACATTTATTAGTTTAACAGTAATCTTAATTATATTTACAGCAGCTCCAGCCTGTTTTTACCCGTTAAAGAGATCGCTTGTGCTTCACAGCGGTTTGTGTTCAGTCGCGTGTGAGCGCCATGCGCCATTTTGAGCCGCGAACAAAAGCAGAAGACGCTCTCAGTTTACATAATTACTGTTGTTTGTTGTGTGGTTTTATTTGGGCGTTTTTCTAGATTAATGTTACTTAATGTGTTGTAATTATCTGACATGGTAGTTTAGTATTATATGAAATTAAACGGTTTGGCCTAATGGGAACTCAAACCCTTACGAAAACTGACCATGGTTTTACTACAAAAGAAAACACATGGTTACTATAGTTAAATCATGGTAACCACAAATTAACAATGGTTTTGCTACACTAACCATAGTTTAACCATGGTATTTGTAGTAGAACTGTGGTTATACAAATGGTAATCATTACGCCCAAAAACCATGGTTACTACACTTTAACTACAATAAAACCATGGTTAATTTTCGTAACACTCATGCCAAATATGCACCACAGAAGTGCTTTTGAAGTGGCATTAGGTGTTTTTACACTGTTTAATGCTGCTCAGATGTGGCTTTTACACTGCAAACACAACTGTATACTTTAATACACGGAGCTGAGGTGGGTCTAAAGTAGGCATAATTCAATTTGACTTTTATGCAGAATTGCATCTTTATGCTGAATTCTGAGTCGGCATAAAGCAGCCTTAACTTGGCTGTGTGAAGACGCCTTAAAAGGTCTGTATCTTTGTATCCAGGTAAGCTATCAATGCATTGGCAATGCAGATAAACGGTAATTGGTTATGGCAAGACAACATTCAACATTGAGAGAGATAGGCGGGTATAAAGCCTTGTTATTGAAATTAGTTGGAAACTGATACGCTGACTAGAGACGGTTGATGGCGAACACGTGATTGTATTGTCCATTTTTAAGTGTTTCGTTAATGTTTACGTGTGTAGTATTACTGGTTTTTGATTACATCTGCTGGAGGTTGATGGGAATTCTCGTTTTGCAGGTTGAGCCATGCATCGCGACTGCCCTCTGGACTGTAAGGTGTACGTTGGGAATCTGGGAAATAATGGGAACAAATCCGAAATAGAGAGATCGTTCGGCTATTACGGACCCCTGCGGAGCGTCTGGGTGGCCAGGAACCCTCCCGGTTTTGCGTTCGTTGAGTTTGAGGACCCTCGCGATGCCACGGACGCCGTCAGAGAGCTGGACGGACGGTGAGTGTGGATTATAACGCTAATAATCAGCCATTACCCAGCGACTTCTGAGCTAACTGATCCGTTGTCGACGTCGTCACGCAGGACCCTCTGCGGTTGCCGAGTGAGGGTGGAGCTGTCCAATGGTGAGAAGCGTTCTCGTAACCGGGGTCCGCCTCCGTCCTGGAGCCGACGCCCACGCGATGACTACCGCAGGCGCAGCAGCCCCACCCCCAGGCGCAGGTAAACCTGTTTTCCCGCTCAGCTGTCTCTCCGTAGGTTGTGTTCCAGAGGAAACTAACCTGATTCTGCCCCTCCCGCCAGTCCTGGATGCTCCGCCGGTGCCGGGTGTCCCAGTTCTGACGAGCGTCTGCCGGAGATCTTTTGCTCCTCCATCTTCATTGTCATTGATAACCATTAAACAATGATTGACTGGGCTTCTCAAATTCTGATATTTTGTTGAAATGCAGACCAGTAAGTGATTAGGTTAATTCCATGAGAAAATATCCGGGTTAGGTTTCACTCCAAAATTAAACGCTTTTGGCTTGATTTTTTGCATTGTGACTTGGCACGCAAAATCCCATCGCTGTAACAATTATCCAGCACAAATTTAATTTTACATTTTGTTGAATTGGTGGCTAATTTGTGTGTTTCGTACATTGTTTTTTTTCCCCCTAAAAATCGTCTGTTTTTGTGCAAGTTACATTTTTCCCATGAGATTGGGTTGAATTACCTTGTGCAAATGCCGATTAGCCATTTAATAAACACATTGCAAACAAATTTAACGTAATATGTATTGTGAAGGATAATTTTACCCTCATATGATGGTAATGAGAATTACAGCGGTGATTGATGAGGTAACGTTATATAAAAATGTGATTAACTGTCCCTAAGTCTCAGTGCAGAAAACCATCAGTGTCTTCAAGATAGGCTTTGTTTCTCTTGATTTTGGATTGAAACTTGACCCGAACGTTAATTTTGCTAATTTACGAATTGGACGTCAAAGCCCAGTCGCTAGTGTTCAGTAATCTGCTCGGCTCTAGTAATGGTTGGAATATGCAATCTTTTGTTGACTTAACTTTACATGAAGGTTGTTTTTATTTTCTTATCTATATTAATAAAAATGAACCCCGTTGCAGAGTCACCACCATGCCTCTCCTCACCACCCTCTGAGTCAGTCTACTAGTCTTCTTTCAGCATCATGTGACCAGCGTGCCCCAATCAGCTGGCTGGGTTGGTGTCACATGACCCAGGCGTTGCCAGTCATCAGCTCGCACCAGCCCATTGGTTCCTGAGCATGCCGTTGTCAGCTCCTCCTCCTCCAACCTTAACACCCAATCGGCAGCGGCCCACTTCACATTCCTGACCAATCAGCGTTTTACGTTCCCCAATGTCTACACTACCAACCACCAGCAACAGCCTTCGGCTAACCAATAAAAGCAGGAAAAATCCACTACATCCAGCCCCCATCCGCAAGCCAGCTAATCAGCTCGCAGCATCTGGCCTGCACTTTCCCGCCAATTCTGCTCCCCGGCCGCCAGCCGTCCTCCCCTTCGCCTTTTCTAGCTTGTTGAAAACCGAAAAGACTAGTAAGTTTTTCCTGCTTCATACAGTTTAATGCTGAATACAGATGTAAGATGAGGAGAAATCTCCTGTTGAGTTGAAACAAACAGGGTTGGTATGAGTTCTGGACAGACGTTGTTAAGCTTAGGCAAGCAGACTGATGGGGAGCCCAAACGGAGGTTCAGGTTACAGAAGCAGCGTGGGCTTTGAGAGCTGCTCTTGCTTTCTTTCACTGTCTTCATTCTGTGGGGTTGTTTGCAGTGCGTTTCTGTTGAGTTTCTCCTGCTAGGGCACTACTTTTGTAGCTCTCTGTACTGGAGCGTAACGCTCTTATTAAGGGAGGTTCTCCGAAGCCGCATGTGTTGCGAGGTCTCCACTC